AGGTGGGCAGCGCTGCTATCAGGGTGGACGTTGGAAGTCATCAAATGCGTAAAGGGTGAAGACGAAATCCTTGGAACAATCACAGCCAGCATCACTCCCCGAGCTGATGTCGACGAAGCCCTAGTCGCGATAGCACCCAAGAAACAGCCACGGAAAATGATCACCATGCCTCCACCAACGATCGAACCAGAAGAGAAACGATCGAACCAGACGAGAACCTCTTGGGATGAGTTTTGACGGATCTGCGCGAGTGAAGCGCAGCGGGTGCGTATAGTGCAGTCGTGTGGAAACTCCCGGAGTGGACGGTGGTGGAAGCCATGTCGGAGTACATGTCGGACTTGACAGTGAACGAGGCGGAATACCGTGGACTGATTCTTTCTTTCGATGTGCTCTCGACCTTGGACAGGGGGCGCGTCGTAATTTGTGGAGACTCGAACTTGTTTATTCGTCAGATGCAGGGTGAGATGGACTGCAAAGCACCAGGCCTGCAACTGCTCCGACAGAAGGCGTTGAATCGACTACGGTCGTGGCCGAAACACGAGTTCCTCCACGTGAAGCGGGAATGGAATCAGAGGGCGGACAAGTTGACAAGTACAGCGCTGCAACGAGAAGAAGGCGAAATAATCACCTCTCTCAGAGGACGATCGCCAGGACTTGACCACCCTCAACCGACTGGGCGAAATGCTGAAACCAAAGTTGATCGAGACAGTCGTGCAATCACGCGAGCCGCTGAGAGACAACGACACACACCGAAAGCGATGGAAGAATCTATCATACAGCGCATACGGTGTCAGAGGATTAGACAAGCTCAGGATGAAGAGAAGTGGATTGTAGATCTGAAGAAGTACCTGGACGGGGAAGTGAGTGCCTTGACAGCAGAAGAGGCGAATGCATGCTCGAAGATAGCCACGAATTACGAAGTAGACGAGAATGGGCTACTCTTCTTTTGCCCCAAGATACTGCAACGAGGCGAAGATCGCGACGGTGGTGATACCCGATAGCTTGCAGCGAGACTTCTTTCACCATTATCATGTCAGTCTAGAGGGAGGCCATCAAGGCGTCGGAAGGACGTACCGGAGGATCCAGGCGAACTTTCACTGACGTGGGCTGTATCGAAGTGTACAACGCTACGTGGGAGAATGCACCGATTGCAAAACCAGGAAGGGAAAGTCAACGGGCCAGGGAGAATCACCAGGAAATATCCAGGGTACATATGCTTTCCAGGTGATCTCCATGGACCACATTCCGTCGTTGCCGAAGTCGTTCAAAGGGAACACCGAACTGTTGATTTGGGCCGACTTGTTCACCTGTTACGTAATAGCCAAGGCTGGTCCGTCGAGAGAGGCGCAGGTAGTGGCTGAGAATTACGAGGAATGCGTCTTCCGTCGTTTCGACGCAAGCGAAGTCATCAGACATGACCGGGAGCCTGGCTTTATGTCGGACTTCTTCCGTGCCTTCAACCGGATCGTGAAAATGAGACAGAGCGCGACAATGGCTTACCGTCCACAAGGGAACGGCAAAGCCGAGGAAACGGTGCGAACCCTGACACGAGCCCTGAAGATGTACGTCGCAGACGTCAACCAGCAAGACTGGGACGACTGTGCAGAGCGGCTGACGTTTGCGCTGAATATGGCGCACGATCGAGTGAGGGGAGAAACGTCATTCTTTCTAGTCCATGGATGGGACCCGCGGTCGACACTTAAAGCAGTTGTCTCGGTGGGATCGACACGCCGTCGCGACTGCGATGCACGGAGATGGGGGTATCACATACAGGGACAGTACCACAGAGCCAGGGAAGCAGTCAACGAGAATTTACGCGATGATATCAAGTCTAGGGCTGACCAACACAACGAAAACGTTAGACCACACCGGATTGAGGAAGGCACACAGGTATGACTGTACCTGAATCGCGTAAAGGAAGGTTACGCATGCAAGGTCGCACACATGTGGCATGGACCGTTTCGCGTAACCGAGCTGATCGGCAATCACGCAGCTCGTCTCGAGACCGCCGGATCAGGGTATCGAATCTTCACGATAGTACACCTGTCGAAGTTGAAGCCAGTGCGAACATTCCCGGATCGACCAAAGGTTGTTTTGAACACCGAAGACGATGACCGGGTAGATTTTGATGAAGAATTGTTGCCTGACGATAGCTGGGACACTCCACTAGATGAAGACGAATTCGAGGTAGAACGGATCGCGGATGTGCGATCAGGGAGACGCACCCGCTATGGGCGGGTGCACCGAGAATTCCTGATCTATTGGAAAGGCTATGACCAGCAATTGAGGGTGGACGAATCCGACCTCAATTGCGCCGCCTTGTTGTACGAGTATGAGCGCGGACGTACCAGCCGTAACCGTTTCAATGTGATGCAATCACACGAAGAGGGGATGAACGCTGAATAATCCATCGACGGGTGGAGATAGTGTGTGGGGTGGCCACACACTGGGCGGATTGGTATTTGTACAATGCGTGGAGACACCTGGCAACAACCGGGACAAGAGAAGGGAACATCGGAAGTTAGAAGGGAAGCTCAAATGATGGATGGAATTACTTACCCCGGTGGATGGATCAAGATCGATGTCCAAGACCGATGATCGAGATCGTTGATCAAGATCGATGATCAAGATCGATGGTCGAGACTGATGATCAAGATCGATGATCGAGATGGACGATCGAGATGGATGATCGAGATGGTTGATCGTAACCGATGATCGGAATCGTGGATCGAGATCGACGACCGTAAGCGATGATCGAGCCGACGATCGAAGAACCAGAAAATGGAATCCAGCCATGAGAGCTGAAGCAGAGAGCTGACGACCGCGCGAAAAGTGTGGCCGCTGCCGTGTAAGACGACACGCAATAGAGGTGTCGAGGGTGAGAAACCATGAAGGAAATAAATCTCCATCGATGCGGTGAATCGGACACTGACACGAGAGCATGTGCAACTACAAAAACAAGAGAGGTTAGCCTCGAAGCAAAGAAGGAACTAGCACAACGCAGCATGGTACGAAC